GTAAAACTTGGCAGATTGGTAGTAAATATTTTACTTTAGTCGGAGCTCGTTTTTCAGGGAAATCTAGAAGACCAGTTTTTTCGCAGCAGTAAAGACGTAAATTTGCAAAAATCGGAAAACCTGCCTTTACAAACCCTATTGTTTTCGTGTTTAAAATTCGTGTCCCGCAGGAAGCAATATGCTGTGAAAATTTTGGAAGATTTCACCGAAGGAAGTTTAAGAAAATCGCAAGTAAAGCCATAAAAATGTAAAAAAACATATTTGTTTGAGCATTTCTAATTCAAGACTAAAACCAATAATTTTAACAGAGATGATAGTAAAACACTATTTAATCATTGCTTATTACATGTAATTAGTTTGAGAGGACTGGGTGTAAATACGAATGCAAAAACGACATTCAAAACATAACACTTGCGCGCGCAACGCCACAAATGATTACCCTATGGAGCCACCTTAAACATTCAAACCTTAAAATCTCGGTCTAACTTACCCATCACTACAGGATGTGAGGAAAAGATTGCGGTTCAACGGATGGACATCGATGCACTTGATCACTTTGTCATGAAGGCAATAACTCTGCTCTGCTATGGCGTTGCTGAAGTAGATTTAAAGCCACTTAACGTTAGTTGGAGTGAAAGTCATGAGACTACACAACTAACGAAGAGAACTCATACGAAAGTAACCCTGTCTTAGACTTGATTGCATAACAACAAGAAATGGCCCATGGGGAAAACTGGTATCACTGGTTGATTTAGGGAGTCTTAGCAATGACGACGGCGACGCCAAGGACGACGCCTTGTTAAAAAAAGGATTTATATTTTACCCTCGAGTGTCGCAACTATGTAGATCTGTTCAGTACGCCTGTCGGTCTAAAAACCTGCTCACGCTAAATATGTAATGACAGCGTTCAATTCCAAAGAAAGACACGAAAATTAGCCATTGCGCTACAAGTTCTCCAAAATACGTACGACTTTGTCATTTCAAGCCGTTGTTTTGCAGAGGACGGCAAACAAATGTACAAAGATTCAAAACGCAGGGGCAGAAACATTGTTCTGCTCATTAAACCTTTTGTTTGGTGACGTTCCCGTTGCCGTCGCCGTCGTGGTTTGCTAAAACTTCCTAATCTCTTGCCCGACGACAGGCCTCTTTCTGAGCGCTGCTTACACGTAGTTATCATCACTTTCAAATAACCAACAAATGCTTACGAGGATCGCAAAGGGACAGCAAATCTTACCGTTTAGTTCTTGTGTCAACTACCAAGACATAGCCAGTGTCAATTGCTGCTAATATCGTACTGCTGCTCGGTGAGCCAAAGGCAAAGTACATGAATCGTGAATAGTCATCTTCATCAAATGAATAAACCTAAAATCAATTTGACATTCCTCAATTTAGTATCCATCAAGTGTTTATCACTGTTGAACTAGCATTTTGACGCTGGGATACCATCACGGCAACTCCTCACTTAGCTTTACAATAATCATATAGCAGACTTTAAAGGGAGCTACGTCAGTGTTTGCTCATTTTGAAAAGTTTAGTAAATTTGTCAAGTTCGTCAGAAATCCGTGTCAATCTTCTCCATCCTTGATCATTCTTGTTCCTTTATGGTTTATTGTTATCAATTTGGTGCTTTTCTATCTTGGTAAACTATTATTTTCAGGTTTCCTTCAGTTCAATGGTAATTCAGCATGTGGCCAAAATAACTCAAAATACCGACACTGAGCCCCCCTGAATGCATGGAGATACATGTACACAGGATGACGTTGTTCTTAATCTTTTAAGAAGTACCGTTATTAAGAACTGAAAGCCATACATTGAGCTAATAAAGGAACCATCCTCGAGGAGCATAACCAGCCAGCAATTGCAGTTAGAAGAAATTGCCAATGTATTGGAAATAATTTGCGCAGGGAGTCCAGATGGATGTTATTAAGATTAGAAGTAATGATCGCGTTTCATGTTCTGCAGATATTACAAGTACATGTACCTCCTGGAAAGTAGCCGACTTGAAATCACAGCACCTCAAAGTTCCATCATAACTACATGTTAAGAGCTTTCCACAGTTGTCAGGGTCAAATGACATGCAGTTGATAGGGCGAGAGTGTGGCTCGTAAAGGTATACACCATCGTCACCTTTTGTGGAGTCCTGAAACAAAAGGCATACTATTACCTCAACATGATAAACGGTCTCCAAGACAAAATTAGATCTTAGGCAACTCAGAAACTTAATATACCACAACAAAGTAGCCTTAGTTTAATCTGTCATGATATATTCATTTAAAATTCACAAAAAATGATCTCTCACCACATCCCAAATACCAAGGTTGCCCCACTTATCTCCAGCTACCACAAGCGTTTTATATTTAGCAGGGTGAAATGCCATGGAGAAAATTCTATGTGGAACAAGTTTAGCTATGTGACCTTCTTTGATTTTCAGGCTTCCCAAGCACTTTTTGTAGCTGAAAATTAAAAAAAAGAAAAGAAAATCATAATTCACTTTGAAATCCAGTGGATCTATTGTTCATGAACTTTCCAAGTCAGTCAAATAGGATGCAGAACAAAAAAGAGAAATATTCTTACAGTCATACATGTGCACTTCTCCCATAAGTAGACATTTAACGTCCTTATCAGAACTCTCGTGGTATGCAATGTTGACCGTGTTATTACCGATCTTTAGGTATTCTTTCATTGGTGATGTATTATTTAATGGAATCAACATTATAGAATGTCCTCAGTTCTCCTCTTGCATTTTGAAGGGAGTTTCAGTATCACTACAATGGCGCCATTATTATTAACTTATACCAAATAACCTACCTTTCAACATTCATATCTTTTACAGTATCTTCTCTGTTTTCTTTGGCCTTGTGCAACTTAATAAAAGAGAGAAAATACAAATCAACAGGATTTAATATCATAGGGAAGGGACATTCCAGCGGGTACATCAATCAGACTAAGGTAATGACACTGTCTAATGTTATGGGACATGTGCAATCTTTTGCAACCACAATTGCAGCTTGGCTAGAAATGGCAGCAGGAATGCCCCTCACTAGAACGAACCCACCAAATCTTTGCTTTAAAGGAGAATGATGACTGACAGGGAAGGACAAGTCAAGACAAGTCAAGTCCCCCCTCTATGTATTAGTATCAATCAGACTGTCTGGACTTGTTAATGTGCCAGTTACCTTTCAGCGTCTAAGGAAAAAATGTTCCTACAGATCTGATGTGTTGAGTGTACCTAACTGTTAGTGATGTAAACACAGGAGGACACTGAAAGTTGCTCTGTATAGAATAGATGCATCTCTTTGAAAAGACCACAGAGAGGGACTGGCCCTGAGAAGGTTCAGGACCAGGCAAGAAATGTCCAACACCATAGAGTATTAAGTCAAGGTCTTCTTTCATGTTCTTGTACTATGAGGGCACCTCTATACCATGGTTTTGAACAGTTCCGAGGAGACAAACACAACACAAATTGCATTACATACTTAGCCAGGGGACTCTATAATTTAAGTACCTTTCCTGCCCACAGCTGGCTAACTTCTACCCAGTGACAGTGTCATGTGGCAATTAATAGGTTATCACCGCCTAGCATTTGGCAGACCAGAGCAAAATTGCTTTATGACCACACAGTTTTCATTACATCGGTTTTGAGCTCCTTTTATCTTGCTTTTCTTGGATTTTGCACTTTGAGACACAATTTCAGTGAATTGTTATAACTGATGTCCAAGGGCCCTGGAATGCACTACATTGTATTTGAGAAAGCAGCTTGGTTGACTGACTAGTAGCCAAGGTTGTTACGTCCCAGTCAGTCCAGTACCTAGAGAGCACCAGCCAAACCCCATTCCCCTCACGGCTGGGATGCCAATTCAGCTGTGCTCCAAGAGTTGTGTCATCTGATCCTAGTCTATAACTGATATTTCTCTTTTTCATTTCTGCTACAAGTTATGATATAATCTATAATCTTTGTACATACTATGTTAGCCAGGACTGTTAGTTCATCAACAAACTCTTGTGCATGTGTTTCTTCAACATTATTACAAGGCTTCATTTCCAAAGGGCCCAGCTTTCGTGGCTAGGAGATAAAAAGATACAGTTTTTACTAATTAGTTTCATTCAATCTGCATTGAATCAATTTTGTCAGAATCCTTAGAATACATTACAGCTCTCTTTGTGTACTGCATTGACCAAAAGAACTCATTCAAGAATTATTTTTGTTATCCACTGTTTGACAATTGATTGCTTCAAGGTCTTACTTACACTTTCAGTGAATGTTTGGGATGCTACAACTGAGCTAATACGCTTTAATCCAACTGCCTTTACTGGGCGTGGAAAGTAACGAAAGGTTCTCTAAATAAGGAAGGTCAAATGAAATTTATATCAGGGAGAGGAATAATAACTTTCAAAGTGGATAACAAATCAGAGTATAGCATTTAGAGAGAACTCTTACTACTTGATGGTGAGGTCAGTACAACTATACATGTACATATGGCTAAATATTGCCAGTGGTTGCGAATAGTAATGATAATAGCTCCGTGGAGCAGCCACTGGCCATCAGAATTGTTTTAGCACTTTACCTAAGAGTACTTGCATGCATAACAGTGAGCACGAGGTCAAGCATGTCAAACAAAGAATGATGTTGTGTTTATGTTGAAGGGAATTAAACTCATCTTATTTGGTCTAGCCATTCTGAATACTGAATACCAAACAGAACAAGTATTTAAAAAGTGCTTGAAGGTGGCAGATTTCCTTCCAAAAAAAGTAATCTGTTAGCTTGTATGCATAGTATAGAAATTTTGCTTAAAAATACCCAGTAAGATATTCCAAAACTGTTGAATTTCTTAAATGTGAACCCATTCCATGGAAAATTCTGGGAAGAAACTACGTGTACAGGAAGCTATGGGAATTCCCTGGAAGACATTTGCCAAAATTTAGGTCCACAATATTGTACATGTACCTTGTGAAGTTTGAGAAAATTGTCCATTCCTGTTCATTCAACAGCTAAAAATGCTGCTCCATTTGCCACTGAAAATTTCTGTGTTTTTGTTTGCTTGGAAAGGGTCCCTTAAAGTTTATAGCAGCTTTTCTTATTACTCACATGTTCATCGACAGGCTGAGATATTTCAAGTGGTTGATCAGGAAGTGCAATACCATTAGGATCTTTATTACGCAGACGAAGTGACTGACGTGTGGGAAGTAATGGTCCAACCTTAGAGCTCTTCTTGGGTCTGTAATCAAAAGACATCTACATTTATCTGGGTGAAATGATAAATTCTTTCCAAATACTTAGATGAGAAAGTAAGTACCAATTTTTTTTGGCAAAATTCTTTTTGTTATTCTGACAGGACTCACAAGCATCCTGAAGGTTTTCACATTGGCTTGGTGCAATAATTAAGAGTTTGCCAATAATTGATTTCTACTATAAGCAACACCACAAAAATCTCTTCTCATTACTTGAAAGGTTCATTTCTTCAACTCTCAGATATGGGTGATGACTGTAAGAGCACTTGAGGCCTTGGTTTGTGGCAGCTGATCTTTATTTCTGCAGTCTCAAGATCTTCATGAAGGAGGAAAACATGATTTCACTAACTGTTCTCCATTTGCACACTCATGCAAATTGTTGTAGAAGCAAACTGTGTTTGCAAACTGCCAAAATAAGTTCTGAGTTTTTCAGAAACAATTTGCTACTGCGAAAAAATGTGAATCTGCAAATAAATGAGGAAACTTTTTGGCAAGCAATACACTCCAGAACAATGTGTGGGAGCTAATACAGGCCTTGAAAGTGAGAAAGAGATAAATAGTATTACGTAGAACACTAATTAATATGCAATTGGAGAGTTAACGTGTACTAAAGGCGACTAAAATTTTGGAGACATGCCGTCGAGTGTTGTTGATCAATACATATGAGTCGGTCAACATTTGGCCACATATTGGTCAAGACTAGAGTATCCATTGAGATGTCGATCGAAGGTCGACATTTGACCATAGATGCCTTTAGCACACATAATCCAAAAAAGTTAGAGAAGTACATGTAATTACCTTGACAGGCCCCTTTCCTTGACTTTTGTAGTGCCAGAACTTGACATAGCCATATTCAGATCAAGCTTTGCCTAAAAGGGAGTAGGGAGTAGAGAAAATGTTTTTCAGAGGTACGAATTTGTAGGAAGGATGTTCATGTAACTGGTGATTTCTTTGTTTATGGTGACTTAAAGCTGCAATTTTGTGGTTTCTGACTGAAATTCTAGCATCCATGTAATGGGTTACATTGAAATTAATGCAAATGAGAAATCTAACTGGGAAAAAGGCTATCATGATATATGTACATATTAATGCATGAGCACCATATTCACTGTAAGGACTTCAAAAAATTACCCTAGGTCACAGGTAAAATTCATGGTCAGTACCTGACTTAAGTTGAGGCCTGCAAAATATTCATTGTTCCGTCTGATATTCTCTTGGCGCATTCTCTCGTATTCTGACATCTCCCTGCTCCCATGAGCTCTCTGTGATAAGCCATAAAAATGAGGTACAAAATACCTGTTTAATTCATTCTGATGACACGCATTACACATGTTGTTATTATCCCCTGAAGTCCCTCCATGTGCACCTTGGCAGATAAGATCAACAGCCACTAAATGAGTTTGGGTATCTTTATTAAACAGAACAAGAGGGACTGAGGANCCATGATCCAGCTAAATAGCATTCTTGTAAGCCTAACAACCCCAATAGCATTTGCTTAAGTCTAAATAGTTCCTTGGATAGCCTGAACAGTGCACTGGGTTTGCTGCAGGGTCCAGGCTTGTCCCTTGGGCAAGTAGTAACTTAGCCTGTGCCGGACTCCACCCTCCACACTTCTGCCCTTCTGGAAAGAAAAAATCGGAGAGATGCAGAGAGGGTGGCCGTGACACAGGCTAACTGTAACTACAATCCACTAAATCAAAAATCATTCTCGCTAAACCTCCAAAATATCTTTTATAAGCACTGCTGAACCACTCACCCGTGGCTTGTGGTTCCACAGCCACTTTGACAATGTTGTGACGCAATTTATCATCAATAAGAGGACAGACGCATAAAAAACTGACGTCAATTTGTTAAATGTAGATGTAGATGTAGACTATAACAAGTCAAATCTGTACGAAATTTCTAGAACAGCTTTCAAATTGATATAAACTTAAGTAAGGGTTATCTCAGTACGGGCACAAGTAACAGAGGTGTAAAATTTATGGTGAAGGCGGTCATTTCAGCAATGAATCAACAAAGTACTTCACGCACACGCACACAAAGAAAGCTTATATTGTTAAAGTTAGAACGGCGCCTTTCGTATGCAGCCTTCGAACGCAAATGTATTTTCGCGTGTTGTTTTTAACGAGTGATTGAGAGTAAAAACTCTTAACGAGGCTTAGCAATTCTAAATATGATAACCTGGGTCGGCAAATAAACTTAAGCTTAAGCTTAGTATAAAGCTTATAAATCACTCGTTGTAAGGATCACTGGTGATAAAGATCTATTCAGTCACTTGAACAATTCCCCTTCTGACAACAGGATAACCCGCAATTGCATTCAACATTACCACTTTTAGCTTCTTCGTATTCGATGTTGAGGATTCTGATAAACCAGGATCACGTCTTGTCTTCGGCATGTTGATCGGTGATTCTCAAGGGTACATGTAAATCATTACATAACAGACCTACATCCAGTGGTTCAGCAACTGATTTTTCGCGCCAATTTTGGTGAAATTAGTGTTCACTGTGTCACTCCTGTCAGACCCCTGGTAATGTTATTCACCGACATCCATATCATCCAGCACTGGAGAAAAATTAGTTGAATTTTTCTCCTAGAAAGTACTCTCCAAATACTATAGGAAATACGATTGCAATTAGTTGTTCAAAATTACAGTTTTTAGACGCAGTTTAAGTGGATAATGAAAGCAGTTACTCAGGGGTAGTACCTCAGGGTAATTTGTGCCGATAATCAGGGGGGAGTAGGAGGCCTGGTTGCTAATTTCGCTTTGGAAACGGAGTAACATGGGAGTAAGAGTCCGTTGCTGTGTCCTTATGCAAATGTTTTTCGAGCCAACACGTTAATGTTAAATGTTAATGTTTTATAAACGTAGCTTTCTATTCTATTTTCTCAGTGAAGTTGTCTTGGAATAGAGAACGACTTCTACACAAAGGAGTGACATGAAATTTTGGGAAATGAAACTCTCGATCATTGCTTGAAGTGATGATACACTCTTGGAGTTTTCGATTTTCAGTCATTCATGACTAACAGCGAATTGCATTTGTGTGGATACAAATACCCAAGTTGATGGTTTTCAAGAAAGTTATGTGACTCATTGGCGTTAAAGTAACTTCGATGTCCCAACAGCAACCACGAACACACGGTCAGTCGGTTGGTTCTCCAAATTCACTCTGAAATTGACTGAAACACAGCTAGCAGACGAAATGCAAAGCTCAGAGGCCGTGAAGGGCGTTTTGCAGGATACTCATTTGTTATCTACAGCAGGCCTTGGTCGGCCAGAACCTACAAGAAATACTCGAACAGCAACAGGACAGCGACCAAGACCTGTATCGGGTAGGAACAGTACTCTAACATCTGTTTATTTATAATTAACTTAATTAAGCCTACAGAATCCTGTGTGTATTTAAAGCTTACTGTTGAAATATCGCTTACTTAGCAGTTGTAGGAAAGAAGTACATGTACATGTATGCTGCTACATGTAGTGTAAATCTTATTTGCTTATGGAAAACATTGAACCTACAGTTAACATCCAGTTACATTAATTTCTGATCTATTCATGACTTTTACCTAAGTTGCTAACTATTGTACAGTTAGGCTCAAGGGCATTCTTGAGTTTTAAACAACACGAGAGAAGTGCTACTGAGTGAAAACTTTTGGTACTGAGCAGTACTTTCTCTAGATAGTATACATGTAACTTTTCAGTGATTAGAAAATATATTTTTTTCAGTTATATGGGAGAGGAAAAAATATTAAATCACTAAAATATCACTCTTATTGACAGCACCACCTAGTCAACAACCTCGCTGGAGATATCCAAACTCACCTGAGCCTAAAAAAGCCAGAAAGTTTTATGTGAGTCTTAACCACACACCATTTGAGAGTAGAACAAGTAAGAAGGCACCCTTTGCTCCAAGAGCAACAATTGGAGGGAGTACCACACTGCGAGGACAAGATTTTTCGCCAGCTACTTACAATTCTCTAAGTGATCCTCATTTGAATCCATATTTTGCAAGAAAGTTTGGGAAAAGTGCATCTTTGAGAGAGACAGGACTGTCAAGAACAAAGGTACCCGAACAGTTGATTGTAACCAGCCTGTGATTAGCATGAAATAATATTAAAAAAACAGTGTCTTGGCTGATACATACAGTTGTGTTTTAAACATGTAAGTGTGGCTGGGAGCTTGCCATAAAGTTTCTTTGTTATCTTGCAATTGAAAGAAAAACTGCCAAAAGTGGTGAATGTAAAGAAACACAGTTACATACAGTATATAATCCTCTTCATGCCTAAGTGGAACATAATGCATTTGCCAATGCGGTCCAATGCTGGATCTGGCTCCAGGTACCACCAACCTCTCTCAGTTCTTTTTCTACTGATTTTCTCCACATCAGTTTCGGTTGTCCTTCATTTGAATATTACCAGAATGGCAATTTTGATTGTCAGTTTTTAGGTCTACAGACAATATGACATTGACCAATTATTGGTCAATTATCTTGACCAAGGATGTGGCAGAAACTAAAGTTCTTGATCACGAGTTATTGCAGAATACAAATGTTGTATGTAGATTTCATGACTTAAGATTGCATATAGAGATCCTTTCTCAAAACATTTCAGACAAACGGTAAACATTTCAAAACACCGTTTGTCTGAAATGTTCTGAGAAAGGATCTTTTCTTAATTTGCAGATAACCAACATTTGACTTTTTAAGCTTTGCCTCTTGACTTGGCACTACAGTTTACATCAGTGTTCTGTCATTATATGTAGCTAAGGACTTGTCTAAACTCATCATTCCACATGTGTCTTCTATTGTTTTCAGGGACGAAAGAGTAGCAGTGGAAAGAAAAAGAAAAAAGGTTAAAACATGATATAATATCTTTAAGCTCTTGATCAATTAGCCACTGTGTTCCCCAAAGGAATACAAGATGGAATGTTTTCTTAAGAAGGATTTCCTTTGAAAAGACAGACTGACTGAGGAAAAAAAACAGTACAAATTGATAATTTCTAACAATTGTTATAAGAGCTAGGAATGAAAACGTCCTGCTATTTTTAAATATATGTTATTTGCCAGCTGGAAGGTCTCTACAGTGAAAAATGGTGACTAAGGTCTCGAAAATGTTGCCTGAGGCTAGCAACGGTAGCATTTTCAAGCCAGAGGTCACAGGTTTTCATTAAACGGACCGACCCTAGGCCAGTAAATACAGTATCATTGTTGACTTTTTCCATATACATGTGGTGTTACTGTGACTGTGGTCAGAGATAGGAAAATCCTGGACTGTGCTCAGAACCAATCAGATTGCAGGATTCATTACTGTGTCCTCTTGGAAAAAAATAAAAAAATGTAAATTGTTGTCTACAGGAGTTGTGTACAAAGTTATAGTGAAAACAGGAGCTAAGAAGAATGGGGGCACAGATGCAAAGGTATATAATCATAAGCTTAAAGTTTGAGTGTTTTCTTTCCTTCTTTTCTTATTTATATAAGTGCTGGAAACATTATCTCTTAATAATGTGTGTGCAGTGTAAACTGACATTGCAAGCTATTACTGTCAAACCTTGATTATCCGGACTCATTGGGACTAGACGAAATGGTCTGGATAATTGAGGGTCTGGATAATCGAAAATATGAATATTAGTGAAGAACAAAACTGTTTAAATGAAGTAACATTTAATTGTGAAACAACACTTTTACAAATTGCTTGGAAAACAATATGGTCTACTGTGCATCTTGAACCACTCAACTTTGAGCCAATCAGAACTCATTCGAACATTCTTCATTAGTTACGACACTTTAAAAGCAAAACAAACTTACTTTTGACTGCACTTTTCAATGCTATAGTTTTAAAAAGAATATTGCTACAGATCTTGATCATGACTAATAAATATTCATAACCAAACTGGGACTACAGAAAAAGTCCAGATAATTGAGAAATCCGGATAATCGAGGTACGGATAATGAAGTTTCGACTGTACAGTGTGTATGGGTTGTAAATTCAGCCCGGGTACAACAAAAAAATGCTTATTAAAGAGCTAGTGGTGCGCTGATCATTGATGATAATCAAAAATTGATTTACAACTTTAACCCACGCGATAATCAATTATTCTTACATTTCTTCTCATCCTGGGGATGACAATCAAAGTAAATTTAGGCTTTATAAGCCCAACACTATGATGGTATCGCAGTTTTGTGCAGGGTACAGCAGCTCTACTTTTGCTTGTAAGGTTAAGTCTGCATACGGGCCAAGTGGCCCACCAGGCTGGAGCTTATCCCGGTTTCTGTAGCATGAAGCGACTAGGAGTATTTCTACTCCTCCCTGGATGGGATGCTAGTTCATCGGAGGGTTACCCCCCAGCATTAAGTTCGCCGGTACCCATTTATACACCTGGGTGGAGAGATGCACTGTGAGAATAAAGTGTCTTGCCCAAGAACACAATGCAATGTCCCTGGCCAGGGCTTGAACCTGGATCGCTCATTCAGGAGCCACTGTGGAGCCAGCAGAGCCACCGTGCCTCCCACACTTTTATATATGTCTTAGTTTATTGATTATGGTATTGTTTGATATTATTAATATTCCTTTTTAGGTTTTTGCTGAATTCCGTGGGACAACAGGCAAATTTACCAGACAACTCACACACCAAATGGATCCAGCAGTACCATCAGCCTTTATTGCCACACTGCCTCCCTTCCAGTTCCACTCTGGAAGCACTGAGCCCTTTACTATCAGAGGGCCGGATGTAGGGGAGCTTATCCAACTCATTATTCAGGTAAGTACATGTATGTATGTTACAGGGCTAGAATTAGTAGCTCACAACAAGCTGTTATGGCTGACAATTGCTACAGAGATGAGTGGTAACTTTAAGTTTAAAAGAGTTTGAAGGACCAAAACTACATTTGGGAGGAGGGTTGTGTGCATTTGAAATTATGACTTCCTACTGTACATTGGCTGTGCACAACCATGTACATGTATTAAGGTTACTGACAGTTCTGTGTGATGCATGTGCATTGCAGTGTCTTAAGTCTAAATTTTTTGTTCTCTGCAGCATGATGGTCGAGAACGCAAGCAGGGGTGGTTCCTTGATGAGATACAAGTGACAAATCCTCGCAAACCACAAACATGGACGTTCCCTTGCTACCAGTGGCTGTCACTGTATGAAAGTGATTGTCAAGTGCGACGGAGTCTGAAACCTCTGGTTCATAAAAAGGCTGAAAAAGTTGGTACGTCCTGCGTAAACTGCATACAGTTGTACATGTTACGTTCATACACTACATGTACATGTTCATGTAAATCTTGTGCCCAATTGAAAGTTTCTTTTGATGTTTTACAAACCACTGAGACTGATTAATCAACTGGTACATACAGTATATGCATGTAGAGATACATGTAACTATATACATTTTTTTGTTTTGTATAATCTTGTGGTGTGTTACATGTAATATATAATGTGTTGTGTTGATAATTTGGAAAATTATGATCTTTTTATGTCCCTTGGGGGGAGACCCCCATGTAAAAAGGACAGGGATACTAGTTGGAAATTTTGAATAGAACCCCTAAGAGGTATCAAGATCCTGTTTTGTGGGTGTGGCTTGAATTCTTTTCACCTCTTAGAGATACCAATTCTAAGACAACACATTATCCCTTGTCATTTTTTTCATCTTAATACCCTAACAAGTATTGCAAAAGCTCCCGCTGTGGACCTTTTGAGGCTGAACGCCCCAAGAGGTACCGAAACCACATTTTTTAACCCTTAAAAGGTATAATGAGCACCCCTGTCCTTTCTGTATGGGAGTTCGCTCATTGGTGTACATGTACGTCATTCTGAGTGAACACAAATTGTAGCTACAATGTACAGGTACATGTATGATTCTGATGAGCTGAATGTAAGATCAAGTTTTATCTTGAATAATATAAATGCATGGTAGCTGCCATTCTCAGTCATGTTTGTATTTGACAGTTTATGTGATAGAAGTGTACACTGGTGACAAGGCAGGTGCAGGAACAGATGCTCATGTGTTTGTTACTTTGTATGGCAAGACAGGACAGGCTCCTAAAACGCAGCTCATCAGCAGGTGTGGTGGCAAATCTATAAAGAGTAGCAACCAACTGGCATAGACACCACAAACTACAGTACTTTATTTAGTGTGATTGTCTGGGTGAGGGTCGTTCTGAAAAGGACTGTTGTTGGTGACTGACATTTCGACAACCTGAGAGGAAGTCATCTTCAGAGTCAAGTGAATAGTGTTTGTCAGTTGATGGTGCCTTGATAGTATTGGCAGTAAGACTCATGCAAAGTTTGTCAGCAGTCATTGGTCGGTTTCGATCTGTCTGTTGTTAGTCAAATTAAGTCGCCCTGTTAGAGGTCCATCTGTTGGTTTTGTTTATGCCGTGAATAAGTTTTTTCAACTTTGTAAGGTGCTGCTACATGTAGTTGTTGACATCTGTTACTTAAGAGGCATTTGTTCTTTGTTAGTGTAGCTGCTTTCCAGAGTCAGTTGTTGAAAATAGTTTGTACTGTAGGTTAAACATTGAGCAGAGTCTCAGTCAGTGCTCTCTTTTGTCAGTTGACAATCACATTGCTGTACATCATCAACTGAAAAACCAATCATTGTCAATCAATGCACACCTACATGTACAAGGTTTCCCAACCTAGTTAATTTGTCCAATTTTGCAATCCACAGGACTGATGATGCATTTGAGCGGAATAAAAAAGATGTGTTCAAGATTAAGACAACTGACCTTGGTCCTCTGAAAAAATTGATGTGAGAACTTAAAATTATTGTTACCTACAGTCTAGTTATGAAAATATAGAATGCACTACATGTATGCACATTCCAGTTATTATAAATAATGCAGTGACCCTGAGCTTTTACTGTGTTCCTGTGCAAGACGCTTTACTCTAACTTTGCCTCTCTGCACCCGGTTGTACATGTACACTGTACAGTACATTGTATAGAGGTAATTGGGTACTGGTGGACTTACCAGATGTAACCTTGCAATGGCTAGACCAGCATGCTGCATAACATCCTAAGATTGGGACGCCAGGGGTTGGTGGTTAGAAGTGAAATGCTTTTTGTCACTTATACATGCAATGCGTTGACACTGTACATGCACAGAAATAGATCAATAATATTTGTCAATGATTTGTGTTATTAAGCTTCAACCCCAGCCCATTGCAAAGCAAAAACTGACTTTTAAGTACCAGAACCCTAACTGACTCTCTGGCATTGTCAAAAAACAGCCCCAGTGCTGGGCAAAGTGGAAAGGTTGTATATCTAGTGGAATTGAGATTGGATAATAGGGCATACGTGGAAACGTTAAGGGATTTCTATTAAGAATTTCAAATACCACCAAGAATTTGAAATACATATCCATGCAGGACAATGATGAGTGTTGTTTAAACTAGTGTTTCTTTTTTTTTTTACCTTAGTGTGGAGCATGATAATTTTGGTTTTTCAGCTGGATGGTTTCTAGACAAGGTACATGTATTATAATTGCCTTATGGATAGTTAAGTTTTAGGNAGTTGGACAGGAATTGAGAATATGGACAGTGTTTAGAGAATTCTCTTGATTTACATACAATATGTACATGTAAGCTTATAATTATGTGTACATTGTTGATCGCACATGACTACATTGTTGTCTTCTTGTCTCCAGGCCACCAGTACCTTGTTCACACCTTCACTGGTGACAAGAGGGGTGCTGGAACTGATGCTAATGTCGTCATTACCATATTTGGGGAAGAGGGTGACTCAGGAGAGAAGAAGTTAGATAATGCCAGAAATAACTTTGAACGTGGAAAGTATGTACTAACTCTTGTGTCAAGTATATCATATAGTGGCACACCAGGCAAGCAACATGCGTATGTTTTGTAGTACAGTGTACTGGGTATTTTTGAACCAATTATGCATCTTAACAGTGCACAGTTGGTTCATCTATCATAACTATGTTGTATGTCGGAGATTCAGAATTCTCAAATGAAGCCCTATTATTATGGGTGGAAGTTTTCCTTTTACTGTTTATCAAACATTGTAGAGGGGAAATTCAAGAGAGGCATACCCAGAGCGGCATGGAGGAAGGCAGTGAAAAAGAGACAAAAGGGGGATAGTTTTTCATTCTGAGGGTTTTCAAAATAAGCTGGCGTCTGATGCAATTCACCTGTTACTTCAAGCATTTGCGCCGGGTACTTTCTGCATCAAGTTTGTTAATTAAGATGCATGTTTATTTCACCAGCGCTTTCTTTCTGAGGAAATAACTGAAGAGAATGCATTTCAAGGCACACAGATTTCAAAAATTTTCCAGAGCCAGCACCCGCTCCCTTATCAGACGGGGTAACCCAGTAAGGCATTCTTTGATTCCCAACATGCACATGGCCACTTTTTTCGCAATCCAATAGTGCTCTGCCTACTTCAAGATTTCCTGCTGCTGCTTTATNTGCTGGAACTGATGCTAATGTCGTCATTACCATATTTGGGGAAGAGGGTGACTCAGGAGAGAAGAAGTTAGATAATGCCAGAAATAACTTTGAACGTGGAAAGTATGTACTAACTCTTGTTTCAAGTATTACATATAGTGGCACACTAGGCAAGCGACATGTGTATGTTTTGTAGTAGTAAAGTGTACTGGGTAATTTTGAACCAATTGTGTATCTTAACAGTGCACAGTTGGTTCATCTCTCATGTACTATATTGTGTGTCGGAGATCCAGAATTCTCAAATGAAGCCCTATTATTATAGGTGAAAGTTTTCCTTTTACTGTTTATCAAACATTGTAGAGGGGAAATTCAAGACAGGCATACCCAGAGGGGCATGGAGGGGGGCAGTGAAAAAAGGGACAAAGGGGGATAGTTTTTCATTCTCAGGGTTTTCAAAATAAGCTGGGGTCTAACGCAACTCACTGGTTACTTCAAGCATTTGCCCGGGGTACTTTTTGCATCAAGTTTGTTAATTAATATGCATTTTTGTTTCACCAACGTTTTCTTTCTGAGGAAATAACTGAAGAGAATGCACCTCAAGGCACACAGATTTCAGAAATTTTCCAGCTCCAGCACCCCCTCCCTTATCAGACGGGGTAACCCACTAAGGCATTCTTTGATTCCCAACGTGCACATGGCCACTTTTTTCGCAATCCAATAGTGCTCTGCCTACTTTAAGATTTCCTTCTGCTGCTTTATTTCAAATCAAAAACCCTGCATTCTTAGGTTAGGGCAGTAATGGTGGCAACAGAGAGAGAATCTTGAAGGACTAAAAATTAATGTCCCTCTATTCAGGAGTTTCATGAAGGACCGGAAAGCGGGCAAATTGACTGGCCACGGGGACAATTTCACCCCCCTCATTTGACTATGTAGAGAAAAAAGTTCTTATAAAGAAATTCAATTCAAAAAGTTTTGCCCACCTGTGAAAACCATTTGTCCTCCTGCTGAAAACATTAATGAAACTCCTGCTTATTCTTCAGAGAGGTACAGGATGATGTCGTACCATTGGAGTTGGTTTTTGACGATAGAATTGTTCTACACTGTTCTGCAAAATTTGTTACAAGTAACTGTCTGTGCATTTGCTTTTTCTAGGAAAGATTCTTTTAAAGTAGTGTGTGGTACATATCTTGGACGACTGACCAAGATAAGGATTGGTCATGATAACAGTGGGCTTGGCCCTGGCTGGTTTTTAAACAAGGCAAGTTATTTTGACAGAGAACATTGGATTTTGTTTGTTTCTGTCTTTATATACATGTAGCAACTTGTGTATTTTAATGTACACTGTATTTTTTTGTAATTTAATTTGACAATTGTCTTGTACTGACTTGCTTTTCAGGTAACTGTTGAGGATCCCAAGACAGGGGACGCTGTTGATTTTCCATGCCGACGGTGGTTTGCCAAAAATGAAGATGATGGCCAGATCTCTCGTGAACTGAGCAGAGCAGATGGCCAAGATGGAGACATGGTTACTGATAAAGGTGAATAAGATAAATGTGTGCAAGTGGGTCAGCAATGCTTCTTGTCCATGTTGATTTACATGTACTCATGCTTGTGTACATGTACACCACTGTACTTGTAGACGAAGCAAGACAGACTTGTAATCGGCTTTGGCTTTAAATGTACCTCAGTGTTTTGGTGTTATAGTGCTTGTAAGGTCTCTGAAGACTTGAATTTTTTTTGTACAACTGGGTCTCAAATGGGCTAAATGCTTGTACCTATATCTCTCACATACTGTTCATACTCTTGAGTGATGTAGCATAGAGCTGACTACAGTAGAAATAACATTAATGGCGTTGTGTTGATCATCTAGGAATTCCATATCATGTTTATGTCACCACTGGAGATGTCAGAAATGCATCTACCAATGCACGAGTATATGTTATCCTTCATGGTGGAGAAGATGGTGAAAGCAATAGTGGCAAACTGTGGTTACAAAACGAACAGAAGGACAACTTTGAGAAAGGAAGAACAGATATTTTTACTGTAGAAACAACAGAAATGTTAAGTCCTTTGCATCATTTGACAATTGGGCATGATAACAGTGGACTTGGTTCAGGATGGTACTGTGAGAAGGTAGGAATATCACATGCACTGTTATTTGATTTCTATAACAGAACCCCCAAATGTTTCGTTTTTTACCTGAAATTGGGTAACACGCTACATGTAATTGTCAAGTGATTTTTTTGGACGAAATAGCCCTTTTCACGGTTAGTTTTTCTCATTTGCATTACAATGTAATCCAACGTGGATGCGAGGTAATTTTGGGCTAAAACTACAAAATAGCCCGAAATTGCCTCACATACATGCTAGATTTTATTATAATGCAAATGAGTAATGTTAACCGTGAAAAGGGCTATTGGTGTTAATTATGTTTACTTCGCAAACTAGCTGTGTATATGTTGCTGCTTGGCATTTCATTGATGGCTCTTCCTATCATTGCTAAACCTTTGCCAAGTAATTTGTCACCTGCCAATACCAGTAGGGGCCAAAAGTGCATTATTTACAATGTACAACTAGACCTACAGAGTTGCTGTTTGATCCTTTGATGGTGGCCCTTCTTATCATTGTAAAGACAAGATTCCCAAGTGATGGATTGTTCGTCTACCAACAGCAGTGAAATACAGCCCAACCTCCTCTTTTGATACCTCTGTATACACTGTAGCAGCCACCTCTACAGAACAGTTCAACAGCCGGGATTTTTCATCACATCCCTGTGCCTGTCCATACTTTTTACTCAAATCAAAACCTCCCTACAACAGCCCCTCCCTGCAGTGGCCAGCTCACTCTGCCCCAGGGTGGCCATAGTGGAGACGTTTAGCTATAGAGGACATTCAGCATTTGCCCAACGTTAACAAAACTAAAGAGAACAGTGCATGGACAGTTCTGGTTTTCAATCAACCCTTTTAATGCTAAAGACTGTTGTCTCTTTTAGGTTGTAGTTGACTGCCCAAGCAGTGGTCACCAGCAGGTGTTTTTATGTCAGAAGTGGCTGGCTGATGATGAAGGCGACCAGTTGATTGAGAGAGATCTCTACGAGTCTGAAGACATGAGGCTGAAAAGACGTCCAAGTATGATCATCATAATATTTAAATATCGTTTTTGCTTTTCTATAAATTCGAAATACATGACTTGTATTTCTGACCTTTGAATATGTATAAGGGAATTTTTTGTCAAGGAGGGGGGAGACTGTTATTGGAAGGGAACTCACCGCAGCAGTGTGACTTCAGTGATTGGGTGAAGATAGCTGAATGGCTAAAAGTGGGATGTTCAGATTTTTTAGACATAATTTTGGGCACAAGTGCTGCGTTCGGTTAATCTTCCTTAAAACATTCGTTAAGTTTCTGATTGATTTTATCCAATCAAAGGCTAGCGCTGGCACCTGCACTGAAAATGGTCACACCATTAGCGAGCTTGAGATATAAACCTCAGACTCAGTTTAGTCTTGGAGACCATCAACTAGTTCTGGTATCCCTTGACAGGGCTTGAAAAAAGTGCTGTCCAGTTGTCCACAACAAGTACCGGTAGCTTTTCCTGCTGGACAAGAAACTTTTCATTCTCACTTGCCCAATGGGCAAGGGACGAGGCAAGTCATCTGCCAACTAAATCATTAAAAGAGAAAACTAAGACTTGCCCAGGGCAAGCAAAATTTGAGAGCTACTTGTCCCATGGGCAAGCTGGAATTCAAGTCTTTTTTCAAGCCTTACTTGACTAAGTAAGAGGTTTTTTTGGTAGAAACTGTTTGGAATGTGTGGGTGTGGACCAGTGACATGAGAGGCGCTGGAACAGATGCTAATGTTTTCATGACATTGTATGGAGACAGAGGAAAGACAGATGAAGAACCGCTTGGTAATGCCACTGATAACTTTGAACAAGGACAACTGGACAAGTTTAAGGTCTGTCATTGTTTTATCCCTGCTTTAGTTCACTGGTATTTCGTTCTACAGTTTTTAATTTCCCGATATAAATGTGACTGTACCATAATTTGTTCCCTTAAGGGGCTGGTCAAGAATGAAGTTAACCGTAGGTGTATATGTCAGTTATAACTGTAATCGGGTGTAACTGTGAAGCAATGACCATTTTAAGAACCTAATTAAATGTTATGAAAAGCAGCAGCTAAGAGAAGTACGGATGGTCCAAACCGGCTTCGATTGAAACAATGTATGAACATTGAAGATGACAAATTTCAATTTCCAGTGTCTCATTTACGAAATGTTGATAATCGAAGAATGCCAACTATTCTTGAACGTGCAAGGAGACTTCACCTGCGTGAAGTTACTCGTGTAACACGCACCAAAAAGTGTCAATTATGTTTCACTCAATAGGCCATTCCAGAGTTATCTTTAGCCTCTTTCTCAAAGCGAGTCTTGGTGCCCGTCCTTTCATATGAAAGTGAGATATCACTCCCATGCAAATTAAACTCACTTTCATATGAATGGTTGTGCAGTAGGCCTCGCTTTGATAGAGAGGCTTAAGGCAGCTCGGAAATGGGCTATTAAATTCTTATGCTGCGTATGTCGCCCTGATATTTTCACTTTGCCTTGAAAATGATGTCAGGAACTTCGAAACTTACGTGAATTTTGAAATTTCTACTTACATGTAAGTATTTCAGCAAACACGTAAAAATGCAGTGCACTTCGTTACTCTCCACTGATTGGTCCAATTTAATAAAAAAAAGAGATCATAATCTTAAAAAAATGTGATGCACATTATAACTTTGAAAATAAACTATCTTCTACTGTTAGGTTGAACTCACAAGCGTTGGTAAGCCGTACAAACTGAGGATACGGCATGATAACTCAAAGCCATTTTCTGATTGGCACTTGGAGAAGGTAAACTAATAAATACCATCTATGATATACTATCTACAATCGACACATGGTGTTGAGAATAGTACTTCCTTTGTTCGGGATTCTGCGTAAACCATGTTCTTTGTTATTTGATACATGTGCATGCTTGAAGCCACTTTGGTCTAGTCTTGTGTATTTTTCCCTGTGCCCAAAACTAAGTTGAAATTTTCAGTAAAATTTCGACAGAGGCCTGTAAAAATTCAGCATGATACTAAACACATCGTTTGCGCAGCCAAAACGTAGGAAATCTTGTTCCCAGCAACCGATGTAGGCACTGTACTTTTTTAATGCGAATAGGACCGCTCTACGTGATGTTGATTTACGTGTTATTAATTACGACTAAGCTCAGCGAATCTTTTGGTTGTTAGTAATTATTCATTGGACCATTGGCATGCATCATACATGTAGACTGTTGATTTTCAGTAAGGCACATTCTTGCAGTGTGTTCATTCAGACGAATCAAAAACATACATGCTTGTAGAGAGTTACTTGACAGGAACGTGCAAACTACAAAATGCCCATTTATTGGTTTCACGTAGATTCAAATGGAGAATGCAAAATCCAGCATCAAGTGTTCCTACAAGTGTAACCGCTGGCTTTCCAAGAGTGAAGGAGATCGTCAGATTATCCGTGAATTACCAGCAATCATACAAGGAAAGGAACCTTTACCTGGTAATGAATAGTTAACATGTGAATTCTTAAAGCTCTCAGTTTGTAGAACATTCTGCAGATCTGTGCAGGTGCGACTTCCTTCAGTAAAGCACAGATATGGTATGGAGACTCTTAATTCCTTATCATGCAGTTGGAGCCCGCTAATTCGAACCGGGTTTTTTCGAGTTCTCCGTTACATCGAATTAAAAACCATTTCCATTTCCGTTTCCATTTCCCCTCAGTAATTTACTCCCGCTATTTCAAACTATTTTTCGTTTCACCTGCTGGAGAGTTCGAAGTAACGGGGTTCAGCTGTATATAATTAGTAATTCCCCAATATCTCTCGAAGTTTCCCACCTCACTGAAGCCCTCTGTCAGGCTTTTGAAGACAAGAGTAATTTTGGAAGCAGTGTTTTTAGTGTCAGATTTTCAATTTTTGTTATTTTTACTCTACACTTGCACAATCTTTGATAAACCAGTCAACCTAGATTGAAAAGTGTTTTTTTGTAAAGCCTTAAGGTCATATTGTAAACTGTTTTAACAAGGAATTTTTCTTTCCCTTAGTGTAAGTCTTTTCGTCATTAATCATGAACCGACGTAGCGTGTAAGTAACTTGTAAATGGTATTTCTTGCCTTTCAGTTCATGTTTACCACGTTTCTGTGTACACGGGTGACAAGCGTGGTGCTGGCACAAATGCCAATATTTTCCTCAATATTTTTGGAGAGTTAGGTGACACTGGTGATCGACCTCTGGAAGAATCCAAAACTAACATGAACAAGTTTGAGAGAAACCAGGTAGTAAAGCTGTTTTTTTCTTCACCGGCGGAGAAAGGGGTAGCTAAAGCCCAGTTTTTCAAAGTCTTTTGGGGGTTCTTTGAATACGTCGAGTTTTGATTGGTTCACCGTATTGTCGGTGCCTATTGCGATTGGCCAAAGGTGTTTCTTTTGTTTTGGTTTTATGATATTTAATTGAAAACCGCGCTCCAACTAGAAAAAGTATGCAAAAGTTAGTGGTAATGCCGAGTCTGAAATTTAATGGATCGAGGTGTGCATTCGAAGGTTACAACATATTTACAAACGTGCGTGTGTGACTGTGTGGCAACTCGTACCATGGAAATACAGGGTACTTACCATTTACATGGGAAAACCGAAAATTCCAGTTGGAAAATCAAATGGTTCGCGCCATTCCGTTTGGGAGAGCTTCAGAAAATATGGGCTGTGATTTGGGTTGATGCTATTTTTCTACTCTTTTAAGTCTCTCTAGCTGATGTGGATATACTTTATAGCGATTCCCTCTCCCGCAAAGTTCAATTTAATTGTTTAATGTTTATGCCTGAAATTTCCAACCGGATGCTTTTTGTAAATGGTAAGCACGCACAAGCTCTGCAATTTGATTTGTTTCTAAAGGAAATGCTGTCCAATGTTCGACGTATTACCCTCGTAATTACCACAGTTGTGAAATCACACGGCCACTCTCAGTTTGTCTTGTAGTTTGCGAGCCTCGGCATTCGAATTCTCGGTATTAGACTGGAACTAGCTTGCAATAGAGGCTTATGCGGGGGAATATCATTAAAAAGCGACCAAAGTCATTTGCTTTTGAAAAGACTCCCAGCCCCGCGTTAGCCTCAGTTACAATTTAGTGCCAGTCTAATATACTTAGAACACGAAAATGGTCTATTTTCCATGTTACTGAAAAAGCCACTTCTAACTCCCGAACCAATTAACAACAAATTGTTTCACTATGTCACAGGGTGCACCTTTGGAAATATTGCTCAAATTATTTATTGCTCTCTTTCAGGTGGATGAATTCCTTATTGAAGCAGTTTCACTGAAAAATCTTGACAAGGTCCGTGTGGGCCATGATTCAACTGGACCAGGATCGGGATGGTTCTTGGATAAAGTTGTCATAAAGGATCCAGAGGACAGCACCAAGGAATATGTGTTCCCTTGCAACAGGTTTGGCTGATCATGGACTGAAAAGGTCCCCGTAGGCATGTCCCGCACTGTGCAGCAGCTGGTTCAGATTTTGAGTCTTTAAAGTTTAAGGGACTGTGTCACGGCTGAGTTTAGACTATTTTATCAAGTTTTGCAAACGCTCGCTTTGAAACTTAATGTTAGCGAAGAAATTACTTCTATGGAACTATGGAATGACAAAACTAAAGCTTCATTACAAACAAATATTTGTCCGGGGCGTTTTAATTAAAGGAGACAGACAAACGAGATTACATGTAACTGTGAAAAGTGTTCAACCTAACATTTTTTCAAAAAACCCATATCGCAATCCGTTTGAATCTTTTTCAGGTTTTGTCCATCCGTGCCTTCTTTTGTATTTCTTGTGTTATTGAAATGTTCCCTGACTATTTTAAGTGGTTATTTTTATATTTTACTTTATTTTACTGCCATTTTCTGACGTCTAAATTTGGCTAGAATGACACAGTTTCGTTAACAAGTTGAACTTGTGCCATTGTTGTTGTTTACAGGTGGCTTGCAAAAGATGAGGACGATGGTCTGATAGTCAGGGAGCTTCCTCTTGGTGGCACAAGCCTCCTGAACAGTAAGTTTACTCATAACTTTCATTTGCTGCCTGCAAACGTGAATTGATTCAGTCGCTAGATCTATAAGAAGGGTTTGATTTATCTGGGAAGACTTGTAGTACATGTTGGTTACGTTCTTTGGGGATGATCTGGATCAGGATCAGTGATCCAAGATCATTCAGATCATGGTGCATCAGAGGACCCGATGAATCCTCTCTGGGCAAGGATTTATCGGCTCCTTTGATGTACCATGATCATGAATGATCTTGGATCACTGATCCAGATCCAGGAGATCACCCCAAAGGGACGCACCCTTACATGAGAATTGACGTAGGTTTGAGATATAAATGTGAAATTTTTACGGGGTAAATTTACACTGAAAACACTGAAACCGTGAAAACGTTACATTTTTTGCATTTTTTAATAACTATAGAATGAGAGTACTTCTTAACACGTTAATAAGATTTTTTAGCTTTTTTACAGTACTGTGCAAACGCTAGTCTTGTATATTACATGAAGAGCGTTCATTCTATAGTTGCCTGAAAATGTTAAGTGTTCACGGTTTGAGTGTCCTTACTGTAATGGAGGCGATTAATAATGGTAATAGGAATGAGTGGAGTTTAATTCGGTCTGTAATCATACGAGTGATTYACAAAATCGGACGACCGCGAAGCGGGAGTCCGATTTGTTAATCACGAGTGTGATTACAGACTGAATTGGACGACACGAAGTCCTGTTACCAATTAATCATAACCATTACAATATCCCACAAAAGTAAAAGTTTCATTTGAAAAAGCGCTTTTAATAGTCATTTTTAAATATCATAATTAAAAATATGAAGAATAGCTTGCAAAATGGCGGTTGTTTCTTTCAAAACAGTCACCAGAGACTAAACCTCCTTTTACAAAGTCAGTCTCTTGAATTGGTTACTATAGTGATTGTAATCAATGCTGTGATTGGTTGATTTAGTGGAGAGGACTTAAAATGATTGGTTCATGTAACTGTCCGATTACAGGTGTCCGATTACAGCCAACTGTCCGATTACACTGTCCGATTACAACTTTGAAGATTAATTAGAGCAAAATAGAGCAGTTTATGCACCAATTACATTCGAGGAAATTGTAATTGTTATGATTAATTGATTAATACAATGTGTAGTTTGAGCTTAGTAACACCTATTTTAACTGTAAATCATCTGAACTACATGAAAGACAGGAAAAGCATGTTATTAATGTTGTAGTAACAACTAGCAGTCAATGTGATGTTGTGCTTACTTTTCAGCCACGTCGTATCTTGTGTCTGTGAAGACTGGTGACGTCCGTGGTGCAGGAACAGATGCCAATGTGTTCGTCCAAATTTATGGCGCCAAAGGTGACACTGGTAAATTACAACTACGAAGCGCTGAAAACACGAAAAACAAGTTTGAGCGGGGCAGGACTGACCAGTTTGCACTGGAGGCCGTTGACATTGGAAAGGTGTGTAGCTCATATTGAGGGAGAGAAAGAGGTTTCTTCAATTGGCTGGCAAAAGTCGGTTAAGTAGGAGATTCTGAGGACTGTCTCATATTCGGTTGGCATCAGGCAACGGTGGATAGTTATCCTCAACTAATGAAGAAGTATTTCAAAATTGTTTCACTTCTGCGTGTTGTTTAAATATCGATTTCGACTTTTGCTATTTATCAGGTAGCATTGGAAGTGGAGCTTGTACTGTTTAGAACTTTATGTCACGATAAATGTTTTGGCGATGTATAAAATAAACTTGAAACCTCAAGGAATGATAAACATAAAAAAAGTCGAAAAAATGTTTACTTAACTATATTTATAAATATATATAAAAAACCATCAAAAAGGATATAATAAACTTAGAAGAATTGTTCGCTATAGGAAGGTTGACACAGATTTTTAACAAAGAACGTTAGTCTAAAGTTAATCTGAAATTGCTTCTTTGTGTGTTCGTTCTTAGATTGAGATGTTGCGCATCTCGCATGACAACAAAGGCAGTGCCGCTGGTTGGTTTCTTGATGACGTCACAGTAGACATACCTTCACGTGGTGATCACGTGGTGTTCCCGTGTCATCGCTGGCTTGCTGATGATGAAGATGATGGCAAAATTGAACGGGAACTGTACCCGGGACAGCAAATACATACCACTGCCAGTAATTGCTGTTTTTTTTTAAATATTTGTGCAGTGTGCACATTTAGGAGGGGGGGGGGGGTGGATACATGTTCGATTGTTGTTGGTCTATCTCTTGAATTTGTAATAGGTTAAAAATAGGTTTTTATAGGTTGAAAATAAATTTGAGAGGAATAAGAGCATCAGACAAGCATATCTGATATCGCAAAAAATGCTTGTAGAATATAGAAACATTAAATTCGATTTATTTAATTCTAGGTATTTTATTGTGAAAACATTATTCACCAACTCTGCCTACGTCTCTTAAGTAGTGTTGGCTATCTGTTTTTAAAAAGCTGTTCGACATTATGTTTCTTGTATTTTCTTTACACCACGCTGTCATCCATATTAACCACTGTTTGTGTTCTGATTGTTTGTTTTCTTATACACGCGTAGAAATACCTCACGAGGTGACGGTGTACACTGGTGACGTCAGAGGAGCTGGTACAAACGCCAATGTGTTTCTTGTCATGTATGGAGAGAATGGCAAGTCAGACCAGTTTGACCTGAGAAACAAGTCTGACAACTTTGAGAGAGCTCAGGTTGACAAGTTCAAAGTAAGTTATTATGGAGGGAGAAGTGAGTTTGCCTGAAAATACACTAACTAGTGTGAAAGATTAGAACTTAACTTACTTCTAGGTGTGAAGAGCTTTGTTATGGCGTCTGAGGGCTCTTTTCAGTAGTTGTTCATCAACCTCGCTTTTAGTCTCCAGTCCTTCGCAGTCGTAATTTGAGTCGCCACGCTTCGTTTCTTGGGACAAGCGTTGCGTGACAACCAAACAACAGCAGCGAGGGAGACTTCACCATTTCTGTTTAACAAAGCGTTTGCAAGAAATAAGAATGTCGTTAACGAGGCGTGATGTCTGAATCATGGCTATTTTCTGCCTTGTTCTACTCTCCGGTTATTTAACAAATATATCTCTGTAATTTACAGGTGGAGTGCGAAGATATCGGACCTCTTGTGAAAATTCGCATTGGTCATGATAACAATGGGATGCGGTCAGCGTGGTTCTTAGAGAAGGTAACTTTTAAAATCAGTTCACTTCTATCGTTGATTTAGTTATCAGAGTATTCTACTTCCCCACCCCCCTTCTCGGCGTCGCTCTGACGTTTATTATACCTGTGTGACCAAAGGTGGAAATTCGCCGCGTGAAGCCTGAGGACAACGAACCGCGGAAAAATCGCAGGAAGTCTGGGGACGTGGAAGAGATGGGTGATGGCGATGAGTACAACTATCTTTTTGTGTGTAACCGCTGGCTTGCTCGTGACGAGGACGATGGACAGATCGTGAGGGAACTGGTGCCTATGGACTCAAGTGGGAAACCAAGACGAGGCTCGTTAGCAGGTAAAATAATTTGGTTTCATATCCCAGGCACTCCTTCTTTCTCGTCTTTCCACATGAGAGACATATGTGTATGAAGTTCGTCCAAAACAAGTTCTATAATGATGAAGTTCCGAATTACCTTCAGCCTCTTTCTCAAAGCGAGTCTTGGTGCCCATCCTTTCATATGAAAAGGAAATTTCATTCAAATGCAAATTAAATTCATTTTCATATTTGCACCAAGCCTCGCTTTGATAGAGAGGCCTAAGGCAACTCGGAAGTGGGCTATTCCCGTGCGTATGTAACAAGACCTTACACATAAGAAGCACTGTAAAGCTTCTTCATCACTAGATGTTTTTTCTGTTCTAATTATCGGCCGTTTTGTGAATCCTTTTAGAAAACACCTATCGCGTGCACGTGTTTACCGGAGATGTTTCCAATGCTGGCACGAATTCCAACGTGTTTATCTGCGTGTACGGCGAGCTTGGTGACACTGGGGAGCGGAAACTGGAAAAATCCGAGACTCACATGGACAAGTTTGAAAGGAACAATGTAAGAATTGCGTTCTTTCGTTTATATAATATATAGATTTAGGCCAGCCTAAAAGCGTAGCTCCTGGGCCGGGTTGGTCAGAGCCCGATTAAGCGAACCCAGGCAAAGGTAAAATTTTGATTTTGTGTAACTTTGCAATGAGGTTTTCTTTATATTGTTTGGCCTTCTGTTTTGAGTTTTAATAATCACCATATACACAAAGCAAAGCAGAAAAAAAAACATTTGTATAGAAGAAAAAGTTATAATTCGGTTAACGTTTAATCTTGGCCTAGCGTTAACCGGCTTCCGAACAATCCTGCCATGTTTTCAACAACTTAAGCTGACATGAGCCCGCAATCCAATCGAAAGCCAGCACGTAGTCAGCGGTCAATTAAAAAAACACGTGACCTCGATGACTGGTAAACTTTAGCCCGCGATATGGTCACGTGATACTGGTCAGCGGATACCTTGTTTTGACAGGTGTCAATTGATCATAACATGGATGTCCAATATCAAAGAAG